TTTTTTTTTTTTTTTTTTTTTTTTTTTGTGTTTTTTGGATATGCAGTTGTCAATGGACTGAGAAGTCAATCGTGGGTATCAGACTGTTTTACCTTCCCAAGGTAGCCTGAGAAATTTAACTCGATGTGAGTTTTTAAGCTTCTGTTAGTAGCAGCAGTTGTAAAAAAAGTAATGTTAAGCCTTTCTTCTTTTTTTTTTTTTTCAGTACTTAGCACTGGGTTTTTTTATGTGTGCGTGTCTGTATGTGCTTATTTGCCACTTTTTTTTAATATATCTCTATATATTTAAACTTGAACATTATCTAACACTCAGGGTTTCCCATGCACTAATTTTAACAGCCTCACCTAGTATTGCCGATGTCAAACACGCTCTCAAACAATAAACCTACAGAGAAAATGTCTAAAAAAACGGACTCCAGACACCTTTCTCTTTTTTTCTTTTTTTTCCCCTTTTGAAACGTAACTTTTTTGAAAAGGATGTCTCCAGAAAAAAAAAAAAAAAAAAGTCAAAAAAACCCAAAAAACGAAAACAAAAATGCCAAAAGCAGTGTGTACAGGCTAACCAGCGTGCGTGGGGAGCGTGCTGCCTCCCACAGCTCAGCCCTGACCCCCTTTTGTGTCCCCGCAGCCGTTCATGTCGCCGCGCTACGCCGGAGGTCCCCGGCCCCCCATCAGGATGGGCAACCAGGTACTGTGCTCCCAGGATTCTGCATTCCCTAGGCATAGCTGTTATTTGGGAAGGGGGATGAGAGCCAGGTGCCCTGCAGACGCTCCTTGGGTTTGGGTGGCGTGCATCACCTCCTTTGTCACCCTCTGTTTTCCTAGTGCTGGAGCATCGGGGTGTCACTTAACGATGATAGTTTAATTTTATGTTGAGGTTTGGGCCTATCCAGGATGGAAACAGCAGCGGGGAATGTGCTGCTTTCCAGCTGTGGTGTTGCCAGCAGGGCTGTGCCATGCTGCATGCTCTCTGCCCAGCTGGATTTTCCCTGCAATCGCAGAAAATTAAAGTGATGGAGATAATCCTGCTGCTGGGTTGACCGAGCGTTTAGATCAGCGGCGGGGTCAAGCAGGGTGGGTCACTGCTGAAAATTTTTTGGGTTGGGTTTATCCTCTTATCCCAGCTTATACAAGGGCAGTTTGTTTCTGGCCTTGTGGATGGATGGAGGCTTCCACCCCACGCCCTGCCTGGACGCATGCGTGGCCTTTGGTTAAGGAATTCATCTCCTTGCCATGCACATCCATAGAGTAATGACCAAGCCAGAGGTTATTTGTCACTAAAGGGAAATTAAAGGAAACCTGTAATTCCTTTGGGCAGCAAAGGTGTCTGTTCAAAAATTATCTTGGGAGCTTGCTTTTTTGGCTATCAGCATTATTTTTCTGTAGGTCTAATTAGCAGAAAGAGGAGGCTGGTCGGGAAGTAGGATGTACCAGCTTGCTCTGGGTTTGTGCTTTCTGGGTTTGAGACTTGAATCTTTAGAACTTGCTAACTGATGCTGAGACAGCTGAGATGTAGCTGAGGAAAACCCAGAAGGGGCTAATGGAGGACCCCCATGCTGGGATGGCTGGAAGAGCCTTCCAGCTGATGGATGATCTAACGAGGTATTAATTCACTGCACCTCCTCATGGGTCAGTTTTAACAGCGCCCCATCCTGCAGTGGTTCTCTGCTCAGAGGTGAGCACAGTGAGCTGGGCAGGCAGGAGAAGCAGGGGAGACTGGTTTGAGGAGGCTGTTCCCACAGGAACAAGCAGGATCAAGCATCCAGGAGTGGGTAAAGTTAATTAGAAGGATTCCATTTTTTTCCCCCAACCACCACATAAAAAACACATGTTTGTACCTAGGCAGAGCTCAGTGAGGTTATGGTCACATCCTGAGGGACAAGAGGAATAAATAGGCAGGCAGGAAGGTCAGGCAGCAGAAGTGTAAATATCCACCTCTGCAACTCTCCTGGTTTATCTTCCTCCTGCTGCCAGCTTCTAGCCTGCAAAAAAACTTGGGATTGGGCTGATTGTGCCTCGCACAGCCATGTGTACCCAGGGCCTGTGCAGTGCTCCAGCACTGGGATCCTCAGTGTCAGCATCCAAATAAAAGGCAGCGCTGCCATAGCAAAGCTGTTTACAGCTTGCTTCCCTCAGGCAGACAATATCTGCATTTTTCCTCCCCTTTATCTGTTCGGAGTAGCCTTTGAAGCTTAAATAGCAGCATTGCCCGAGTGGGATGTGATTTTGGGGAGGGGGAGCATCCACCTTCCTCTCAGCCTGTGCAGGGATGGGTCCCAGCCTTGCTCTGCTGTACATGGAGCATCTCTCCACCACAGCCCGTGAATCCCTGCCTAGTTTGGCCCTGGTGCTGTGTGTTACCAGGGTGCCATGCTGCTTGTCACCTTTCCGTGCTGGATTTGACACCGTTGCCCTGCTCAGTTCGGGTTTTCCCCTGCTTTCCTAAAATACAACAGCATTTGGCCTGGGGGGAGGGGGAAACGCCTTGTTTGGGGTTTAAAGAGGGTTTGCAGAACAGTGAGAAAGGCAAAGACCTGGAGGATGTAGTAGTGGGATGTGGGGTGCAGCAGGATGCGTGGGGAGGCAGGGTTTATTTTTTTAATCTTGCTCCCTTGCTTTCACAGCCCCCGGGTGCTGTTCCTGGTACACAGCCATTGCTGCCCAATTCGATGGATCCCACGCGACAGCAAGGTAAACCCAGCAGAGGAGCGTCAAGCACTGATGTTCCTAATTAGCTGTTAATTTGGGACCCCGAGTGGCTGTGGCTCCGTGTAACACCCCTGCTTTTCTCCCAACAGGGCACCCTAACATGGGCGGCCCCATGCAAAGGATGAATCCTCCGCGAGGGATGGGCCCCATGGGTCCCGGTCCACAGGTAAGCCCGGTGCCAAAGTGCATCCTACAAACCATGGGAACAACCTCCTGGGGCTCGGAGGGCTGGGAGTTCCCCCCCCACCCCCCATGCCCCCATTAGTGTTAATGCATTTTGCATTAGTCTTGCATCTGGAAATCCCTCCTTTTAACAGGAGTGAGGTCTTCCGAGCTCATTAAGGGTATTGCAGCCTCCCTCCTGCCCTTCTGTCAGAGGGGATGGCACTTAGCTCTGCACCAGAGCAGCCTTTGAGTGCATTACACTGCCTGCCTGGGAAGCAGTTACGACCCTAACTGCAGGAAAGGGAAAGGGAGGCTTGCATTTGAAATTAATAAATAAAAAGAAATGGCAAAGATCCCTTTAGCAAAGGGAATAAGGCTTTCCCCTGCGAGGTTCCCCTCCACCTGCCCCTCCTGCTGCCTGCTTGAGCTCTCTATTTCAGGAAAGGGGAGTAAACTCTTGAAATTAAGCAGATCTGGGTTAATATATGCTGTCGTTCCGTTGATTCACTTCATGGAGTGGCTTGTTGTTGACTCACTCCTGTTTGTTCCTTCTACGAGACTTCAAAACCAGATTACCATATTTTGGTTGGAGGTTTATCCTCTCTGCATCGTCGCCTACGTGGAGTTTGTAGCGCGAGGATCAGAGTCTGTCAGGAGACGAGCGGGCGCGCTGGAGCTTTGTTTTGTTTTTCCCCCGGAGACTGTTGAGATAAATGAACGTTGTGTAAAGAGGGACTTGTGTCATATCTTTAGCACCAACCTGAGGATGCTGCTCAGGGCCGCTCGGCCACGTCCACGATCCATCCTAGGGCAGGGCACAAAAAAACCTGCGCGAGCATCGTTTCGCAGGCGAGCCCTCCCATAGCGCTGCTGCTGCTGTGCTTAAAATCCTCCTTTCCTGGAGGATTGCACCCAAAAAGGGAAAAAAAAAAAAAAAAAAGGCATTTGCAAGCGTGGCCTGTGCCAAGGCGAGCGGCGGCGGCTTGCCCGGGGGAGGCTGCTTCCCACTTGCAGAGCTCGCCGCGAAACTTGGAAGCGGCGAGCGCACGCTGAGCGCCGCGTGGGAAGGCGGCGGCTCTGGGAGCCGGCTGGAGTTGTGAAATGTTCAGAGCTTTATTTTTGACTCCACCGTTCCCTGTGTATGTACATTAGGGAGAGGTTTTTGAAGAGGCAGCCTTTCCCTGGAGAAGCGCTGGGCTTCCCAATCTGGCACCCGCAGGCGCTGCCTCCCTGCAGCCATCCAGGAATCGGCGCCTGCGCAGGCAGCCTCCAAAAATACCCACCCAGACCCGGCAGCCCCTCACACCTTGTGTGCCCAGGGCTTGTTTTCCTTTAAGCTTTGCACTGGGACCTTCCTAAATGCTTCTCAAACGATTCCAGAGGGCTGCAGAACATTCAGCCAGGACATGAGGCGTCCTGACAGCAGCTCCTTATTGCACAGCAGTGATGAATCATCCCTTTCAGCTGATTGCTGCTGCCTTTTTCCCTTTAAGAGTCCCATTTGTAGCTCTGCAGAAGCCAGGACAGGGTTTGCCAGTGCCAATATGAAGAGGGTTTGTAGCTCTCTGTTTTTGGTGGTGCCTTGCCCAGGTCACTCGGCACAGCTGTGTTCCCTCCTCACCCTCCCTGAGCATCTTTCAGCTGGCTTCGTTTTCCAGCCTTTCAGCTCCAATTAAAAACGCTGAGCCCTTTTTTTTTTTTTTTTTTTCCTTAAACAAGGGGCTTGATGCTGCTATTCAGTGTAAATGGCTGAAATTTTGATCAATTAAGGACTTGCTAGTAATTTGTTTGGGGAAAACCCTTTTCTGCCTCTTCGAAACAAACTTTGGTGATGCCCTCAGCAGTGCACCAAGCACCGGTGCAACTGTAAATCCAGGTAAAAATTGACAAAAGCACTAAAGTATTGTACTTAAAATCCAGTCAGGAGTACTCCAAGAGGCTGTGGTGTAGGAAGTGGCCAGCCATCTCTTGCTGTAGCAGTTTTTTCTTTAAATGGCAGAAACGCAGTCCAAAAAGATGCATTACAGAAGAGAGGGAGGTGGGAGGGGAAGAGCAGCAACGCGACCTAAATCTGACTGCACGTCGCCTGGAGGGCACAGGGAGCAGAGCACAGACCAAATGCAGCACAGCATTCGGGGATTCCTCCTCCTTCACTGCCTTGGGCTTCGCTTTGTACTAGAGCTGGTTTTAGGAGATGAGGGATGCAGACCTCAGGCTCCCAGTCCCAGCTGGAGGCTAAGCCAGGGAGGAATAAGGCAGGAGAGGAGGCCCAGAGGGCTGCCTGCCCTCACCTCCTCTGCTCCAGGGGATGGAGCAGAGAGCTGGGGAGCAACAGAAAAACAAGCCTGGCTTGGTATTCCCTACTCCAGCAGTCATCTAGGGAGCAGGGAGTGCTCCATCTCAGGGGGAGTTCATGCAGCCTTTCCTCATCCTTACACTGCAGCAGGAACCTTCCAAGTGGTGCCTTTTCTCCTCCTCCTTGCCACTGTTTTCTTCTCCACAAAGGGAAAAATCCAAAAGGGTGTTGCTGGCACTGGGGGCTGTGAACAGAATTGTCTCCTGGAGCTGGGAGGGGGATGTTTTCCCTCCACAGAGAGCAGGGAGGGGGAACTTTAGGACTCAGCCTGGCTCCCATCCATATTCAGCTGCCTGGTTTTTTTTATAAACACAATCGCCTCTTGTGTTCATCATCATTATTTTTTTTTAAAGCTCGTTTTTGCACACAGACTCACTTGGGTTTTTTGTTTTTTGGGTTTTTTTGTTTTGTTTGTTTGTTGGGTTTTTTGTTTGTTTTTAGTTTTTGTTTGTTTGTTTATTGGCTTTTTTTCCCCTTTCTGTTGTCTCTCTGGTGTCCCTTCCCGTTATGGTAGACTGACCCTTGGTTATCGTTGCAGAACTACGGCAGCGGCATGAGACCTCCACCCAACTCCCTAGGTCCTGGCATGCCTGGAATTAACATGTAAGGCAATCCCCACACCGGGAGGTTTCACCACTGAACTGGGACTGTCTACAGAACAACACAACATTTATTTTTTTCCCCTGTTTAATTTTGTCCCCAGGGGCCCGGGCGCCGGCAGACCGTGGCCGAACCCCAGCAGTGCTAACTCAGTGAGTATCGTGGAGCAGGAGCAGGGTTGGTTGGGAAGTGTCCTCCAAATGGGATCATTCCCCACTAGCTGAGCCCTGCTAATGAGAGGGGGTTCTCCAGCCTCTTGCTTAGGCTGCTGGGACTCCCATCCTTGCAGGCTGAGAGGGCACTGGGGGTCTTAGCTGTGCCCTGATGGGATCCAGCCCGTGGCTGAACCTGTGTCTCTTGTCCCTACAGATCCCATACTCTTCTTCATCACCTGGTACATACGTGGTGAGTCCTCCTGCCCCAGCTGTCTGTCCTTTCTTCTCTTTCCTTTGAGATTGTCTGGGGGGGAATCAGTGCCATGGGAGGTGACTGGGCTGGGTTTGAGAATTGGGAATTTGGGGGTGTTTGAAGACATGGGAAGGTGAGCAGTGCTCATGTTTGCACCTCTGACCCCGACTTTGTTTCCGCAGGGTCCGCCCGGTGGTGGTGGCCCTCCAGGGACACCCATCATGCCCAGTCCTGCAGGTAGGAGCCTCCTGAGACCCCTCTCTCTCCAGGGCCATCCCTGCCCTATTGGAAATGACCAATTTTTGTGGTTTTTGGCTTTCTGGGAAGTGAGTTGCGTGGGCTTCTTGACTTTGGGGTTGCATTTTGGGATGTTCCTACATCCCCCTGTGGATTTGGATGCTGTGGGACTCAGGAAGGTGAGGAATTACTTCCCCACCCTTCCCAGCCAGGAGTTGAATTATTTTTCACAGTTGAATTTCTGTGATTAAAAACTTTGTGGATCTTCATTAAATACAAATTAGCCAGAAAATGGTGGTAGTTAGAGGGAATTTTGGGTGATAAAATACAAAAGAATGAGTTCAAGTGGCATGAGTTTGTTTTAATTAAGAAATGAATTAATCACCCGACTTACTGGGCTTCACTTTTCCACAGATTCAACAAATTCAAGTGACAACATCTACACAATGATTAATCCAGTACCGCCCGCAGGCAGTCGATCGAATGTAAGTCTGCTTTCTAATAATTTACATATCAGATACCATAACAAATCATAATTAACTTCATCAGTTGAGAGTAAAGCAGTTTAATTGATTTCAGCCATTTGTTACAAAACAGAAATAAAACAAACCATCAAAAAGCTATTAACTCTTGGGCGACTTTGTTAATTTTTTATGCTTATTAAGAGAGCAGCAGTCCTGCTGTTCCGGCCAAGGTGCTGGGTTTTTTGGGATATGGGTAACCTTAAATCCTGTGGAATGCTGGTTGGAATGCTGTGCTGCAGCTCTAGGTCTGCCGTCCAGCCAAATTTTTTAGGTGAACCCACAGGACCATAAGTCCCAGGTTGTGCCAGGGAATGTTTAGGTTGGATATTCAGAAATTTTTTTTTCATGGAAGGGGTTGCCAAGCATTGGAATGTGCTGCCCAGGGCAGTGGTGGAGTCACTATTCCTGGAAGTGTCCAAGGAATGTGTGGATCTGGCACTTCAGGGTATGGTTTAGTGGTGGTGCTGAGCTGACTGTTAGACTTGGTGATGTCAAAGGACTTTTGCAGCCTCAACAATTCAGTGATTCTACGATACCTCCCTCCTTGCCCTGCTCCAGAGGGATGGCTGGGGCAGGGACAGTCCTCAGGAGCCACCATGGCAGCTGCTGGAGTTGTTTTGTGGCTGATTTTGGTTTTGTTGCTTTTTTGTTCCACAGTTCCCGATGGGCCCCGGCTCTGACGGCCCCATGGGCGGCATGGGTGGGATGGAGCCCCATCACATGAACGGATCATTAGGTGAGCCATGATGGTCCTTCATCCCCTGGGAACACTGGCACAGCATCCCAGTGGCTGCTCCCATCCTGGGGTCAGCCCCCAGTTCGCACCAGTGCTCAAAACAGAGCCTTTGGGTGGCAGTCAGCAGGGCTGTGGGGTCACGGGGCCATGGCTGCAGGCCCACTAAGGCTCTCCTCCTTCTTCTCCTCTCTGCAGGGTCAGGAGACATAGATGGACTTCCAAAAGTAAGTGGGGTTGGTTGCAGGGTGGGTGTGTGGGCTCTCCCCTTTCCTCAGCACTGGGGTGCTGCTGTGACCCTGATGGATGGGGACACAGGGAATGTGACTGGGGTGGGCAGGGCTCTGTCCTTCCCCTGTGGCATTTCAGGGGGGAGCCTGGGGACCTGCTCACCACCACCCCTCCCATCTCCCACAGAATTCTCCAAACAACATAAGTGGCATTAGCAATCCCCCGGGCACTCCAAGAGACGACGGGGAGCTGGGAGGCAACTTTCTCCATTCCTTCCAAAATGACAATGTGAGTGAGTGAGTGAGTTCCTGCCTGGGCATGGGGGGACGGTCCCCGAGGTGCCCTGGCACTGGGATGGGTGGGCTTGGCACAGTGGATGCCTTTTGAATTTGGGTTGTGCCATGTGTGAGCTGCTCCAGGAGGGAAAAGTGGGCAGGAGGAAATAAAACAGGAGGGTGGAAGCTTGGGGATGGGGGTGCACAGGTGGAGAGGAGCTGGTGCAGAGATGGCTGCGCTGGCCTGGCTGATTCAAGGCTCCATGGGTGGCTGCAGACATCCCTCCTCCCTCTATTAGCAGCATATACACATGTGCATGTTAATTATTTGTTTTAAATTGCATCTCGCCCCATACTGCTCTGATGATTTTCTTCCTGGAAAAGCAAGTTACAGTGCAGATTAGCTCTGATGAATTGGAGTCTCCAGCATATCCTCTCTTCCTGGTTTATTAGATCCAATTAGGTTGCTGTGTAGTTGTCATCAGCCTCCTTTTGCATCCTCTCTTCAATGTCCAGGGCTCTGACCTGCCTGGTTTCTCACCGTGGCTCTGTCTCTCTTCCAGTATTCCCCCAGCATGACGATGAGTGTGTGATTTCCCTCCCCCTCCTCCTCTCCAGGATCAAGAGAGTCAGCTGCCGTTCGGAGGATCTCAACGAATTATGCAAGAAGAAGAAGAAGAAGAAGCTAGGTGTATGGGCAGGGACACGCGTGGCGGGGGCCAAAACCCCAGGTTTAGTTTCATGCAATAAAAAGGCTGAACTTTTTATTCCATAAAACATGAAGGACAAAACTTAAAATATTTCAAGACATGACAAGACCCTTCTTTGTGCAGAAGGGTTTATATATGTACATGACACTTCTTTTTGGAAACAAATGGAAGCCTCTAGCACCCAACTCCGATCTCTTTGCTTTGTTCTTTTAAATAAAGACAGAAACCGAACCTGTTGTATGTTTGTGCCGTGCGACACCAGGAAGCTAGTCTAGATATGAAATCATGTTGTCTCTGTTGTAGTCATTTTTTTAAATAAACTGGACAGTTTACAATGGTGGTTTTCGTTCAGAAGGCCTGTTTTTGTTTTTCTTTTTTTTTTCATTTTTTTTCTTTTTTTTTTTATTTTGGGGGATTTTTCCCTTGTATTTTTTTGGGTTGTTTTTTTTTTCTGTTGTTGTTTGTTTGCAGCACAACGCTTCCTCCTCCAGTTAACAAGATCTGCTTTGGGGAAGAGACTCCACCACCTCGTTATAAACTTGTTAACGCAGGTGACCCCTTCTAGGATCACATCCTCGAATGAATCGTGATCTTGCTCTCTGTGACTGTGGCATGCACTGTGTTAGTCTTTCCCCCCCCTCTGAGTACAAGAAGAAATCTCTTGTCCCTCCCTTCCCCAGAGTCCTTCAGCTGGTTCACTGCAAAAATTGATTTTTTTAATAATTTTTTTTAAAAAGCCACTGGAAAAAAAAAAAGGGGGTTAATCTGATCTGGGACATTGAAACTGTGATCTCCAGCTAACTTTGGGATTTTCTGGGGGTTTTATTTGCTTTGGGGGCATTTTGCAGGGGGGGGTATTTTCTTTAGAGATGTGCTCTTGTCAGGATTTCACTTATCTATGATTTGGAACTGGATGGAGATATTTTTTAAGGAATTCTTGTTGTTAAAATGTAACCTTGCTATTCTGTAGGCTCGCTCTGTAATAAAATAAAAATTAATGGCAAGCATCGAAGGCCCTTCCTTCTGGTGGGAGAGGAAGGGACGAGCCAAGGCGGCGGGTTGGGATCTCTGTACATGACACTACCCTGTAGTTTGGTCTTGGTTTTTCTCCAGCTCCCATTTCTGCTCCATGTATATCATATTCTGTAAAATATTCTCTCCCTTGGATTTGACCTTTGTGCGGATTATTGAAAGCATTGTATCTTGTTTCAGTGTTTTTTCTTACCTTGTAGTCTGGTTCGAAAATTACCGAGAGGGGAAAAAAAATAATTATTATACATTGTAGTTTGTGTACGATATTTGTTGATAATGTTTTATTAAAGGGATGTCTTTTTTCCGCACCCCTTCATTGAAATGTTTTTGGGGGACATTTGGCTTGTTTTTATTATTCTGACTGCAAGACATGAGATGACAAAACAACTTTTTTTTTAGTGTGTAATACGAATAATTTTTTTTAATGTTTGCCTTCTTTTTCCTAGGCATTTTCATTCTGCTTTACCTGTAGAAAGTCAGGAGGGAGGGAGGGGCGGGTGGGATGGGGGGTCTGAGGGTGTCAGTTTCATAGTTACAGTCAGGTTAATATTTTCCAAGTAATGCAGATTTGTTGCATTGCATACCCAGGGGCTCCCCAAGGAGTCAAATTTTTACCTTTTCCACTTTACATCTTGTTCAGGTTTGGGGGGGTTTTTCCTTTTTTTTTTTTTAATTTTTTGTTCTGATGTGAGGAAATGAAAGGACCGGTTTTAATGTATTTTAAAATGAATAGGTAAATTATTGTCTTCATTGGTATGGGATGGTTTTTTGAATGAAACGGTTCCCCCTCCTTCTCCCCCCTCCCCCTGCTGTAATAAATATCAACATAAACATTTGATTTTGGTGCTCTGCAGTTTGTTCCTGGTGTTTGCTGCCACACCCAGGGCGGGAGTTGGGTGTTTTTTTCCAACTTTTATCAAGGGCCAAACCCCAGATTTGGGGTGTGGAAGCAGAAGTGATGCAGAGCTGAAGTGGCATTTTAGGGGGGCTGGCTGAGCCTGGGAATTCAAAATCCTAAAGGGATTCAGGACCTTTCAGGATGCAGCTCAGGAGCTGGGTGAGATTTAGTGATGCCTGTTTGTTTCTTGGATTTTTTTTTTATTTTTTAAGCATTTTGAAAATTTAGCCTAGAAAATGGTGAGTGTTGTCTGCACCAGGCTGAGGATGTGCTGGCCAGACCCTTGCCCTCCCCACACCCAGCCCATCAGGTTGCAGACAGAGAGGAGTGTTTTAGGGGCTGAAAAGGGATTTTTTGGGGTACAGTTTCCCAGGCTTTGCTCGTTCGAGGCGGGAGGAGTTGGGATGCCAGTGAGATGATGGAGGCTGGTCTGCCCTGTAGCAGCTCCTTGTGCCAGGAGCTGGGAGCTGCTACTTCCCTTTTTGCCAGAGTCCTGCACTGCGGGGAGGTAAGAAAGGGAGGGGAATACATGAGTGTTGTTTTCTGATATATTAATACTGAGCTTGCAGTGGGGTCTGTGCTCCCCTCCTTGGGCAAGAGCTGCGGTGCTGGGTGGGAGCGGGCACCATTACAGGAACAAACTGGAGCTACTGGGGATGGAGAAACCCAGGCAACCCAACCTGGTTCCCCAATGGGCAGCATCAGAGGCTGGGGGAAAGATTGGGAATTTTGGGGCATTTGGATGGGTGTTTGCAAGTGCCAGGTGCCTGGAACGCACCTGGGAGCTGCTGTGTGAGACTTGTTCTCTACCTTTGACTAGTTGGGGCAGGACATGGCTGGCTGGGAGCTCTCTCCCTCCTTGTGGGAATGTTCAGGTGTGGGCTGTGGGTTCAGGGGGTTGTGGGCAATCCTGGAGCTCTGCTGCTCCTGGGGAATGCTCCCGCCTGGCACTGGCACCCGCAGCCACGGCACTGCTGGAATTCCAGCAGTGAGCACTGAGAGGTTGTGGATGCTCCTGGAGCAGAAGGGGCAATGCATTGGATGGCTGCTGGGTTTGGGAGCCACCATCGTGCCTGCAGAGCCCATCAGCAGAGGAGCAGAGTCTGTCTGCACCCTGTGCTGCCTGGGCAGGTTTGCTTCCAGGGTAACACCACAGATACCCATGTGCAGGGCCCACAGCCATGCCCCAGTGTGGATTTTGGTCCAGACAATCACGTCCCCCTGTGCTTTGCAGAAAGCAGAGTGTGGGCATTGTCCATCACTTGATTTCATGACCCCTGAGGGGTTGAGGCTGATGAGGAAATCCTGCCATCCCTTCCTACCCTTGGCTGCCCAGAGCAGCAGGCTCTGCACTGCTGCCTGTTGTGTTCTTATTGTGGGGCATAGAAAAGTCCTTCCTGTTGGTTCTTAAGGGTTACAGGCTGGTATTATTAAATATCACCATGAAACTGCCAAGTTCCCTCCTCGAAACGTCTCCTGAGCCCAGCCTCAGGGATAATTGTCTCCCCCATTAGTTTTCATTAAATTAAATGCAGGAGGAGGATCAGAACAACCAGGGGCTCCAGGCTGAGCACGGTGTGTACTTGTTGGCATGATGTGTGCAGCCTGTGGAGCTGGATTTTGCATTGGGAGCAGTTCAGGGGAAGGGAGTGTGGAGTGGTGGAGAGCTCTCCTGCAGGCAAGCAGGCTCCTCTGGGTCCTGCAGAGCTCTCCTGCGGGCAGCCAGGCTCCTCTGCCTCCTCATCTCGGGCTCCTGCCACCCCATTCCTGCATGTTCTGCTTCCCCGGCTGCCGTTCATGAAAAGTTAATGCCTGGCCCTGGTCCGTGCTGAGGTAACGCCATTCGTCTGCTGACGAGCCTTTATAACTTATTGATGCCAGCCCAGATGTGTTTCTGTGACCCATTGTTGGGCTCCCCATCCCACCTCCCTCAGCTGGGCCCATTCCAGCAGGCCACCCTGGAGGAACTGGGAGAGCTGAGCCATGCACAGAGTGCTTGGGAAGCACAGCAGGGCACCAGGGACAGGAGATAGGGGCTGCCTGCTTCAAGGACCACGACAATCCAACCCGAGCATCTGTGCCAGGTGCCAAGCTGGGAGCTTTGCTCGCCCCCACCTTGAGCTCCCCTCCAGGTCCTCAGAGGAGCATTCCCTGCACGAGGAGCAGCTGCTCCTTCCAGTGACACACGAGTACTGCCTGTCCCTATCCTCAGGTGAGAAGTGGCTGTGCCTCAGCAAAGCAGGGACATGGCCTCACACACTTGTGTAGGATCCTCTCAGCTCCAGTGGCTCCCTGGTGCTGTACACAACCCCTGGAGCCTCATTTTCTTGCTGACCATCCCATGTTTCCCTGCTTCTGCTATTTTTCAAAACTCCCTTTGCTCTGCCTTCTCCATCCCTCCCTGTGCTTGTGCTTTGTCTCAGCTCAGCTTGGACACAGCAGGGTTCCAGCTTCCCTCACTCTCTCCCCTTCAACTGCCTGCTCTGACAGAGATGTCTTTGTTGAGAGGTAAAAGCAGCTGAAGGGACTCTGCCTCTTCCAGACAGGCCATCCCCACAAATTCCCACATCTACGAGAAGCACACGAGGTGTTTCACCTCTACACAACCCCTCCCCACCACAGCTGCTCTTCCACCAGGCTTCCTCAGGGAAATTCTCTCTTCAGGAATGCTAACAGGCAGCTGGCTGCCCTACAGGGCTTCCTCCCTAGGACGGGTAATGACCCGAAGCTGGAAGAGAGAGGGGATGTCAAGCAGAGTCCGTGTGACACAGCAGGAAGCCAACAGCCCGAGAAAGAAACACCCACTGCGTGTGACAGGCTCCACAGAGCACAGCTCTGTTAAAATGTATTCCCAAACACCTGGGTGCAAATCACAGACCTGAGCAGATTTACTCCGATGAGCTGAATTAGGCATCCCTCGAGCAGGCAGGATTAACATGATGCAGAGCAATGCAACATTTAGGAGGTTATTTCTCTTTCAAGCACCTCTCCTAACTATGGAAGGATTTGTTAATTTAGTGCAGCCACTGCATCCCAATTTACAGGGTGCAACCGTTGATCTCAAATATGACTGGTGAATGTTCCCAAAACCTGCAGAGTGCAGCTGCCTGATGGACTGGGGCTGGAACACACAACTGGGGTGTTCATCCAGATGGCCAGGGATCACAAAGCACAGACCAGCCTCTGAAACAAGACACTGAAGTGAGATGAATTTCTTGGAAATGTGTTCTTCCACACCTTAAAATAGCGCAGGCTGTCCTCTCCCTTCCCATGTGCTGGAGGGTACCAGAACTGCAAAACATTCTACATTTGGCTGCAGCTAATTTAGCTTTCATTTTACAAAACCCACACTAATCCCCCCATGTTAAAAAGAATATGCTTCCTGCTCAGTTAACTCTGTGTGGCAGGAAGAAATTCTTCCTTTGTATTTTTAGCAGCAAATACCAGCTACAGGCACCAAAGTTTCCCTGCTACATTCTACACCCCAAATGCACAGGTCTCTTCATCCAGGATTGGGGGATAAAAGGACTGTGGTTCTACAGATCCAACAAAGCAATCCCTCCGATTAAGTGCTTTGGGAACTAAGCACAGGGCAGCACGACACATCCCACAGCAGCCAGGAGTAAAACAAAGTCAAAGCCAGGCAGAATGAAAAAGGCTCGTGGCTCAGGCTTTCCCCTTGAAGCTTTGTAAGTCTCTTCTGCATTCAGAGGGACTCAAAGCAACCTCGGGAATAGGTTTGAGTCTGGCTCTGTGCAGAAGCACACTGAGAGCAGAGCCTGCGCAGACGAATAATGACTGGCTTATGTTCTTCCCAGGCAATGGAGGAAGAGTGCAGGAGGATGTATCTGATGACTTCTCTAACCCAAATCCAGAGGTGAGCCCCTAAAATGAAAGAGTTTCTTCATGCACTATTTAGTTTAAAATAAAATTTTACTTTCAGTAACAATATAATTTATTTTTTAAAGTAAATTAATCCACCTTTCTTTAATTATACGATGGTTCTGGCAAAGAGAAGCAGCAGGTACAGTTGGTGAAGTATTTTCATTTGAGCTGAATTTCACACAGTTCCATGCA